ATGTATTTCTGAGGAAATGCCTAGAATATTTATTTTGGGGGAAAGCCCAGTTTTGGGGCGACTGGCTTAAATTATACTACCGGTGGGATCGAAAGCCTGCATCTCATCATCATTCTCGATGAGGAAATCGGCCTTAGATACTGTGCCAGTTACTTTTGTTATTGTCATCCAATATCTTTAACTGGGGGTTTTAAACGGGGGATCAAGACCACAACATTTCTAGGGCGTTTCTTCCTAAAGATGTAAAATGAGTGTGGATTGTTCCGATGCTCCGCTGATCCAATGCCGTGCTCCAAACTCTTAGTTCCCGACCACAATGATCACCTCCGAAGCTTTCAACCCCTGCTGTATTCTGTGGATATATAAATGGCATTATGAAAGTACTAAACTTAGGTTATTCACATAACTACTTGAATTGATGAAGAATTTACAGCACACATCTAACCATAAGGTAACAGCCACGTACCATTGTGAGCGTCAGAATGATTATTATTTTTTTTCCAAGCCGGGGTGGGTCGACACTGCACTTGTAGCGTTTTCTGCATTTGCATTTATTTCTTTTATTGAATTTAGCATTCAGAATCTTCATTTTTAACTTTGATAACTTTTTCATTTCCTGTATATATCCTGTTTGCCATTTCTTAGACACATTACTCACTGCATTTTCCTTGTAAGAGTATCCCGTTGTAAGAGTATCCCGTATTCAGTATCCAGTATTCAGTATCCAGTATGCGGTAATTAACAGTCTGCTTTTCAATTTTCCAGTTCAGTCAACAGTTAGCTTACAATTCTATCGCAACCTTCTTGGTCGTTCTTGCGAATAAAGTTGGTAACAACGCTGTATCAATACTGACTCTCATAACGACCCTATAAATTGGTGACCCTGTGCACATCATTAGTTGCTCCTGTTGATTTCTTGACTGAGAATGGATACTCCAAGCACGTCTGCTCCTCAGCCCGTAACTGGCTATGCTGGCTGACAAAATTGCCCCTCCTCCAACCCCTCAAGTTGCTACGGTGACACCTACAGCCACTTCCACATCTCAGATGGCCACTACTTTCCAGCAACTGAGAGACGACATCTCTTAACTTCAGGCCCAGGTATCAGCCCTGTCACGTAGTAGTGGCAACCATCGTCGCAGCCGCAGCCGCAGGCGCAGTCCTTCCCGTGAGCGTAACAATGACAACCAGCATCCCTCTCCTGATGAGTGCTGGTATCATCGAAAATTTGGCGCCCAGGCCCGCAAATGCACGACACCCTGTGCCATCAGTACTTCTTCCGGCACTTCGTCTTCGGAAAACGGCTCAGCCAGCAACTAGAGGCGACAAGCACTGCTGGCCCATCCACATCCAGTCGCCTATTCTACGTTACTGACAAGGCAACAAAACAACAATTCCTCATCGACATAGGGGAGTAGGTCAGTGTAATTCCTCGTTCCCCTCGCGATTCTCCTCATCCCAATCCCGGTCAAGATCTGCAAGCAGCGAATTCAACCAAAATTTCTACTTACGGTGAAAGATCTTTGACTCTTAACATTGGACTCCGGCGACCATGTCGCTGGGTTTTTATTGTTGCTAATATCCAACACGCAATCATAGGCGCTGATTTCCTGAGACATTTCAATCTCCTTGTTGATCTTCTCAATCACCGATTGATCGACACAACTACAACCCTCACCGCCGCAGGCACCACTACGACCGCACCTGCGCTGAGTCCTGTCCTCTCATCCCCATCGCCATCATGTTTCGCAGCCATCCTGAAGGACTTTCCTGCAATCACAAGACCAAACTACCGTGACACACCAGTGAAACACAATGTCACCCATCACATCGTCACGACAGGTCCACCAGTTGCCACACGTCCACACCGTCTCGCCCCGGTCCGTCTTAAAGTGGCAAAAGACGAGTTCCAACATATGATGGACTTGGGAATCATCCGCCCCTCAGACAGTAACTGGTCGTCACCTCTTCACATGGTTCCCAAGAAACAACCTGGTGACTGGCGACCATGTGGAGACTACCGCGCGCTCAACCATTCAACTGTGCCTGATCGCTATCCCGTTCCGCACATCCAGGACTTCACGGTATCACTCCATGGGAAAACAGTTTTTTCCAAGATTGATCTTGTCCGTGCTTACCATCAAATCCCTGTAGCACCAAACTCCGTCCCAAAAACTGCCATCACTACTCCCTTTGGACTCTTTGAATTTGTCCGTATGCCGTTTGGCCTTCGCAACAACGCCCAAACATTTCGGCGCTTCATTGATGAAGTTACTCGTGGACTGGATTTCTGCTACGCATACATTGACGACCTGCTGGTTGCCAGCTCCGACACAGACCAGCACGAACACCATCTTCGCCCACTGTTTGGTCGCCTCAACCAGTACGGAGTTGTCATTAACCCTGCCAAATGTCAATTTGGAGTGAACTTTCTCGAGTTTCTCGGTCATCAAGTTGACAGTCAAGGGGTGCGCCCACTCGCCGCGAGAAGGTCAGTGTTATCTTGAACTTTCCTCAACCTGCTACACTGACCAAGCTGAAAGAATTTCTTGGACTAGTCAATTGCTATCGCCGCTTCATACCACAGTGTTCTCAAGTCCTTCATCCTCTCACAGCACTGCTGACCAATTCAGGCAAAACGTCGGCCCCAATCAGGCACATGGACTCATGCTGCTGCTATGGCCTCTTTTAATCAGATCAAAGCCACCCTCGCCAACGCTACCCTCCTAAACATCCAAAGCCAGGCGCTCCATTGAGCATCATGACGGATGCTTCGGATGCGGCAGTGGGAGCTGTTCTCCAACAGTGGGTCGATGATTCATGGTAGCCTATCTCGTCCTTCTCCAAAAAGCTTCAGCCAGCTGAAACACGCTACCGCACCTTCGGACGAGAACTGTTAGCCGTGTACCTTGCCATTCGCCACTTCCGCCATTTTCTTGAGGGCCGAGAATTCCATGTGTATACAGACCACAAACCGCTCACATATGCCTTCGCTGCATCAACTGACAAACACACGCCATGTGAGATTCGCCTCCTTGATTTTGTTTCACAATTCACTTGTCAGTGACATAAGATATGTTAAAAGTGGTGAAAACCCCGCCGCTGATGCCCTGTCGCGTGTGCAACTCAACTCCCTCCACCCAGAGCAGTCCAGCACACCTATCGACTTCAGTCAGACGGCACAATTGCAACGACAGTGTGACGAACTACAACAACTTCACCACTCCGCAACCTCACTCTCTCTCAAAGATGTTCCTCTGCCATCATGTGACCAGACTGTGACATGCGACATGTCAACGGGAAATCCACGACCATTCGTTCCCAAAGATTTACGACGTGCCGTATTTGACTCATTTCACTCCTTGTCACACCCTGGCATTCGTGCCACCCAACGACTCATCACGGACCGTTTTGTATGGCCCAGCATCAACCGTGATATGCGCAATTGGACAAAATCGTGTATTCAGTGTCAACGCGCAAAGATTCACCGTCATACCTCTGCACCACTATCACAGTTCACAGGCCCAAATGCACGATTTGATCATGTACACATTGACATAGTTGGCCCATTGCCACCCTCTCATGGATGCACTTACATCCTTACTTGCATTGATCGTTTCACCCGATGGCCAGAAGCCATCCCGCTACCTGACATCACAGCCAAAACAGTAGCCTGTGCATTCATATCCAGCTGGGTTGCTGCATTTGGTGTTCCATCCACCATCACAACCGACCGTGGTACACAGTTCGAATCCGCTCTGTTCTCCGCTCTCACCAGAATGCTTGGACCTAAACGCATTCGTACCACAGCATACCACCCAATTGCTAATGGACTAGTTGAGCGATTCCATCGTCAGCTTGAGACTTCCCTGAAAGCTCAGTCAAATCCCAACAACTGGACAGAAACATTACCACTTGCTCTTCTTGGGATCCGCACAACAGTTAAATCTGATTTTCCTCACTGTGCTGCTGAACTGGTCTATAGTACAACTCTTCGCTTGCCTGGAGATTTCTTCGATAGTCCAACAAACACTGCTGAATTGGATCCTGCTAATTACGTTCACCGCCTCAAACGAACTATGCAAGAACTACAACCACCAAC